ATAAACCGCTGGTTCGCTGGTGCACTCTGAATATCTCTAGTGCTGAAATTACACCTTAAAAATGTGTAGCTACAACAGGAACGATAGAATTTTAGATGATATGGGCCTGATAAAATATAGAACTGCGAAAGGTTTATAGTATTTCGATAAAAGGTTTGGGTTTAATCAAATAAAGCTTGAGATTATATAGTGGAAAAGTGTGAGATTTTAGAGGATTGGCTTGAGTTCTTGGGGTTTGTTCGAAAAGCGTGAGGTTCACGCCGGATGCGTTAGACTTGGTATGGTATAGGTCTAATAATATATTGACTATATTTTTGATTTACTTTCTATGGTATAGGCCTAAGAATAAGATAAAATCACTGACCTTTTTTAAGAGGGGTAAAACCTTGAATTTTGAAGAAATTAAAGGTCATTAAGACACCTCGGAAGTCGGGAAAGCTCATTTCCGGCCATCTAGGAATCAACATTTTCCCGGGGGAGGAACCCCGGAACCCCGGAACCCCCTTCAGTTATGTGGTTTATGGGAAAATGAACCCCCTCTTTCAAATCCTGGATCCGCCCCTGGAGTACTGTAACCTGTATTGGTGTGAGGGGGGTCGTTATTGTACACTGTTGTATGCTTTTTGGCCGATAATTTTTACAGATATAACATTTTATGGCATTATTGTGGAAGATTGGCTTGAACACTGTCGTTAGAACCGGGAACAGTGAAATTACACTGTTTCCTGGTTTAGACGCCATGACGACATCACCGGATCAAAAATTAAAAAAATAATAATCTGCATATCCAAACAACGTTTTTTTTTTTTTTTAATTGCAAATCCCTAATATTCAAATCTACATTTATTGACTTCCTTAAACCAGAATAATTACAACAGATTTTTATTCATATTTTTTATTCCAATACCTCCAACGAGACTCTAGTCGGCCCATTGGTTCAGACTCCTCCGTCACACATGTCGGACCCCTTTGTCGGCAAGCCCCAACCCTGGTCGTGGTTTAGACATACATTTGATTTATATAATATTGAATCTTCTGTAAGTTGAGCCTCTTTTAAAACTTTTAGTCATAATAGAAAAACAGGTTCGGTATTTGTATTCATTACAAATTCTGTAAAGTTCTGTTTCAATGTTATATTGTTTATTACCGTATATGGTATTTTTGCACACATAACTATAATGTTCATAGTGCGCATGCCTAATTAACGCAATAAATAATGAGCGACGACCGAATCAAAACATAGATTTACAACGGTTCATAGTATTAGTAGTGGGTTGTTCACAGATTTATACGTTGTAAGAGTTGGTGTTGACATTTTTATTGGATTTTGTATGTTCATCTTGAAAATCTATCAGGTAAAGTAATTTTATTTTCAATCAAATTGATATGGGCATAAATAACTCATTATTAATTAATAAATCCTTATTTTTAGTCTTAATTTTATAGTCATATAATTAAGTATAACATTGCAATTCATTCAGATTCTAATTTTCATTTGATTCATTGTTTTTGTCTTCTATGACAGTATATGTCTAGGTAACTATAACCATACACATAATAATATAATTACATAATTATCACTATGGTGTGGCTTTTATGTTTTTTCCTCGCTGTGAACGCATGTGCACAAGCGTGTGGAAATCATTTGCTTCTAAAGGGATAGAATTCCGTCAGTGGCCCAGTTGGATAATGCGTACAATACCGTACCGTATGCATTGCTCTTACAAAACAGTTCTATAGAATTGAACTTCTAAGCCTTCAAAAGGTTCTATAAAAATTAATATACTCCATAGGTTTAACTTAGATGGCCAAACATATAAAATATATACAGATGGTCTGAATTATAATTGTTTTTTATGCTTTTAATTCAAAATATATTGAATATTCACGATTAGATCAACACTAATCAGATTTTCTTGTATATAACAACATATAAAAGTGTGTTTTCAGAGTTACTATTGTAGAATAGTTCCCAATCATCATGTTCACTATAGACAATTCAATCATTCTTACGTGTATTTAGTTGATCTTTCCATAGAATGTAATGCATTACAGATAAATAAATAAGGAATAATAGCCTACTTTCTAGGTTTCCATATTTATAGGGTACAAGGAAGGACCATCATTAACTTCGGTCCATTTACTTAACTTACAATACGGAGGCAGAGAATTATAACGAACTTCAAATATAAGACGAGCACCGTTTAAAGTTGGTTTTGTCTAGTAAATAGTTTTTATAAGACAAAGTTCACATTTAACTTTGTGTAATAGGTTAAAGTTTTTTTACCATTCAGGTCTTCAAACCATTTTTCGTTTGTATGAGTCTAGTGAACTTTGGTTTAATGGCACAAACCATAGGATGATCAATATTTGAATTATTAGTAATATTAGTCAAACTTATCCATGGTTTCCGAACTACGAACTATTTTCCAAGTACTTAATGAATTAATAAGGCTGATGCTATCGGCACTGCCGCAGTGCGAAAAGAAGGCTGCTGTTTTCTATCGGCACTGCCGCAGTGCGATAAAGCTGCTGTTTTCTCTCGGCACTGCCGCAGTGCGATAAAGCTGCTGTTTTCTCTCGGCACTGCCGCAGTGCGAAAAAGCTGCTGTTTTCTATCGGGACAGCCACAGTGCAAAAACAGCAGATATTTTCTATCGGCACTGCGTATAACGTAATGCCACTGGGGCCTGAATTTAAATTAACGAGTGATCTAATCATTTAGGTTAGGCCAACGCTCATTATTTATTGTGAATAAGCAATACAAATTATTTTACTCTTGGTATATTATGAGATGTGGATAATTGCGTCCATCCTAAATCTTCAATGCCGTTTGGAGTGTATAAATTTTGAGCTTTCAAAAGCGTATTTTTTCATCTGCATTTAAGTTCATTCTAGCATCTCAATATCAGAATTCGACCCACAATTCTAAATAGAACAAGCATAGTTAATCGACGGCAAGACAATTTTTCATAAAATATTACCTTACACTCTATTGAAATCATCAAATTTATCGATTGAAGATCTACATAATACTAACTTATTACGTTTATTAATGACACTTTCCTCTTTGATTATTTATATATAGTCTACTGCCTTTCTTGAAATTTGGAATTATAATAGATTTATTTTCATTTAATCAGGGTTTAGGGGTGGGGAAAGATTTTTTAAAAAAAAGGGAAGAAAAATAAATTATTGATCAGCCAAAATGCCTCAGAGTTTATTTCCGACCGCCAAAATAATAAAAAGACAATGTCTCAGACCCCCTTGATAGTGTTCTCTCTCTGGATATCAACATGATTAAATTTGTAATTTGTTTCCATTTGAGTTTAAAAAAAATCGTCACAATCTATAATTACATAGCCTAGTCTGCTCTTTATCATTGAAATTATAATTTTTTAATACTTCAAATAAGATATGATTGTACCCTATATTTCTATAGTTAATTCTTTATTACCGCCCTCAACAGGGAAATATGCAACTGCAATATAGAGTGGGCTTTTTAACCTTAATCCAAATTCTTTCATAGTATCTACGAAATCCGTGTGTATGGATTGCTAATTTTTGTTTGTACGGATTACTGATTCGTTTGTAAAGATTACTAATTCGTTCATACGGATTAATAATTCGTTTATACGGATTAGTAATCCAGATTGCTAATCCATTCATGCTTATTAGTAATCCGTTTGTACAGATTTTTAATCCGTTAGGATTACTAATTCGTTTGTACGGATCCGTAGAAACGGATTACTAATACGGAACCACAATGTTCCGTAATAGTTTTGCTGGAGTAGCTGTCTCTTATACACATCTAGATGTGTATAAGAGACAGTACCTAGAGTATTTGTTGTGTAAGCAGCTCAGCTGCAGCCTGGCCAGTAGTACAGTAGTAGGGCCCCATAGGTATAGAGGGTACCTAGCCTAGCTAGGCCTATCCCATTTATTTATGTACAGCATGCCATGCAGTGCATTAAACAAAAAAATATATATATAATTATTATAAAAGCATAAAGTGTGATTCAATTAGGCCAAAAAAAAAATCAATTGTTTGTTTGCCTGTCCATTTTTAAAAATAATTATGATATAGGGGTAGGTGGAAATTTTTTTTAAATTTTTTTATTATTTTTAAGATACTCATCAGATGGATTAAAAATAACCCACAGAAGTCATCCATGCTAATGAAAAATCAACTTTCAAATCAGCTCTAGATAGGTATTAGCAAACTTAAACCAAATAATAAAAATAAATTCACTCACATTTTCTTTTTAATTGTAAACAAAAAACTAAAAAAAAAGTTTTTCCACCCTACTTTTTCCAGTGAGTTAGGGGCGGGTTGAGGAGAGCAAACAAACATATATTTCCTTTGGCCTTACACAAAGCCACCAAAGTCTGTCTTCTTTTTGCAATTACTTAAATTATAATTTTTATTAAAAAACATAGTTTTACAAGGATACAATACAAAGATACTTTATTCATTTCACTACGGGAACATTTCATGGCTGGATACAACAAAGTGAAAAAAGCATAAGACAATTTACTAATAGTGATAATAATAATAATATTAGTATAGTAATAATAAAACTAATAATAATAATAATAGTTATGATAGTTTTGGCCTACACACAGCACCACTTGTTCATATTATTCAGTGGAGATTTTGTCTCACAATTTAGCTAATTTGGTATGACATTAATTAGCAAAACAGAAATTTGACTTGCCAAAACAATGAATATAAGCAGCAAAAGTTTCAATTCCATCAGCTTTATGGTTTATAAAAAATATATTTAGCAAAATTCAGCTTTTATTAGGATTTGGCTTTTTGGCTAATGACAGCTACACTGCCCACACTTGATTGAAAAATTTAACACAATTATAATGTACAACATACTATAACAGTAAAAACAAAAATAATTAAATTTATGCTACCCACCATATGAACCACAGTTGTTTTAAAATATGAAAAAATAAAATACATAACAAATAAAGGGCTCCAAACACCATTCATTATTACAATCATTAGTGTTTATTACACTTTTCTTCACAATTTTATATCTATTGTACTGATACTTGGTACCTTATTGCTTTTGGAATGAATATGAGAAGATTTCATGAGACACTTGGCACAACAATAAATATAGATCTACTGCATATGTGCTTTTACACAGCAAAGAGCAATATATATTTAATGTGAGAAATTAATCTTGTGATTTAGCTAATATATAAAATGTATATTATTACTTTACACCATGCAAATATTATTGGTATCATAAGCATTTTTTTCGGATGTCGTCAGCGCTTTGAATTCGAAAGGTATAAACAAATAATTATTCGATAGTGAGCTCCTTCGAATACTTAAATATGGTTGAATCCTTGAAGCTGGCGGAAGAGGACGTCACTAGCCCCTGGGTCTGAGGTGTTGGTTTTGAATTCTGCAGTAGGTCTGAAAGCTTCTATAATGCTCTATGAATTGGCTGTTTCAAAAAAATACATTGAGATTAATTTAAAGTTATTGTAAGAATACTGTATCGTATGCACTTTTTATGTATTCACTGAAATGTCATACATTTTGATTCCATAGTGAGCATCAGTGGTCAATAACATTAATAATTTAATTCCATCTATTCCACTAAAAAACAAAATGCTGAAACCTATGAGGCAAGTCTGTATACAGATTCCGGTAAGGCGAGACTTTATATTTTTTGTTTCGTGCCATGAATTTTTTATACAGTAGATCATCGGAGAGGGCAGAATAAAAATAAAATTTTGTTTTCTTATTTAGCAAATAGTTTTGCTGGAGTAGAAAATAAAAATAAAATGTTATTGAATGCAAAATGGGATGGATAAATTTATATAATTAGGAAGAAATACACATATCTTATCTTTGGAGATTTCAAGGCAGTGGAGGGCATAATAAAAATAAAGAAAACTTATATTTTTTTAATGAAATTTCCATTTTTCGTGGAGGTGGGTGCGCTAATTGGCAAAAAATAAAATTTTAATATTATTCGAAATCATCAATATTTGCGTTAGGTGGGTTCACTAAACAAGGTATAAAAAAGTCTTGCCTAACTAACAACTACAAACATAACGGATACATACATTGTCCTTAGCCCGTCTAACTCTCATTATAAGGGTTAATCGAGGAGCCAAGCGATTGGACACTTGCCGGTCTTGAAGCAGGAACAAATACCTCTCAGCCAACTACCCAGATGGTGCATTTATATTTGTACACCCTTCCATTTAGATTGGATAATAATTAAATCCCCTAAAAGTAAAACATTGCCTACCTATTACAGGTACTGAACTTATAGTAGTTCAGCTTTGCCCACTGCATTTTACAACCTGGTTTTGCTGCAATTTAATCCATTTTGCTGCACTGTAGACACATCATGGGTAAATTTCTGTACAGTATAATAAAAAAGCTGATCATGGGTTTTGTGTACAGAATATTGTGTTTCAATCTGGTCATTCTATTCATAGAAGCAACATTTAAATGAGAAATTGTGCCTTTAATTAGTTACTATGTTGTGTAGCAATGCCAGAAGCTATAAAATTGGTTGAAAATTGAACCAATGAGGTTACTTTAATATAAGCATTTAATATTAATTATATTATATTTATTATCATAATCAAATGTAAATATACTGTTATTAATTACAGTAATATTTTATTTGATATATTAATGACATAATTAATGTTGAATTATTGAATCCTGACACGGTGGCGTGCATTTCGATATTAGGAGTATGTATTATACTATCTTTACTGTACAGGATGCAGTGCTATATCCTTCCTAAATTGAAAAAAAATAGCAATCATATTCACTTACCTGGAAATCTCTCTCAAGTCAAAAACAACAATTGGCATTTTAAAAATTAGTAGTTGTCGTAGGCTTAGATGTTTCGGTTACCTCGTCTGATTTTATGGTCTATATTAGCCTAGGCCCCCTAGCCTAGCTAGTAGGCCAAACTAAGCTTTCTCGCTGAGGCTCTAGCATAGCTAGACCACTCTACTAGACTAGGCTAGGCCAGGCCATTCTCTATTATAGCCTTGCTCGTTGTTGGCCGCCTCTTCTCTCTGCCAGCCCTCTCAATCGTAAAAGTCCTGTAATGCTTTAATAAAAACTTTTCACAGCTGTATGTAGTTCATCCAAATTAAACTGACAGTGATGGTAGACGTCTTACCATCCATATAAAACAGTAAGATAAGAAAGAATAACGATAAAATCTTCACTAGCGAACATCCAGCATGGCGAGTTTCTCACATGGTTTGTTTACTGTATCTCTCGTAACCTTTGACAGTTCACTTCCGGTTGAAATCACAAAAATGGCTTTTACGCATGCGTAAGCAAATATTTTTCGACTTAAGACAAAATTTGCTGCCCTCTATAAGCTACAAGAAGTCGATTGTACGCATGCGCCATCAAAGATGATATTTTTGCTAAGATTTTGCTAAGACGGTTTGATAAATCAGCTTAAGATTTTTGCTTAGCTACTTCTTAACTTTTTTGACTTAAGACATTTGCTAAGCTGAGATTGATAAATCCCGGGCCAGATGGACAAAAGCAGAAACGATTTACAATGCGCCCTCTCTTTAGAACATAAGGAACAAATTAACGTACTTTGGTAACGAACTTTGGCGTAACGCGTACACCCTATCTCAAATCCATGGCAACGACTAGGACGCCCTCTCCCAAAACTGATTACTTTTCTGTGCATAGAGCTATTAAACAACTAGAGTGCTGACAAGATGGCGAAGCAATGCAGAGTTATGTATGTGTACCATCCATAGAGCTATTAAACAACTAGAGTGCTGACAAGATGGCGCAGCAATGCAGAGTTATGTATGTGTACCATCCAAGATGGCCGTCGTAGTAAAGCGCCACCTTCAGGCTTAGTA